ATAATCTTGTTTGTTGATTCTACAATTTTGAAATCCCAGTCTATCCCTTCCACCTTCCACTCCCCTGGTAACCACAAGTCTGTATTCTATGTCTATGAGTCTATTTCTGTCCTGTATTTACGCTTTGTTTTTGTTTGTTTTTGTTTTTTAGATTCCACATATGAGTGATCTCATATGGTATTTTTCTTTCTCTTTCTGGCTTACTTCACTTAGAATGACATTTTCCAGGAGCATCCATGTTGCTGCAAATGGCATTATGTTGTCGGTTTTTATGGCTGAGTAGTATTCCATTGTATAAAGATACCACATCTTCTTTATCCAGTCACTTGTTGATGGACATGTAGGCTGTTTCAAGACTTTAAATGCCATCCATATACTAATGACTCCCAAATTTATAGCTGCACCTTAATTCAACTCCATTCTTCCCAAAACTACTCTTGTCAAAGCTACTAATGACCTTCATACTACTAAACCAAGGGACTGTTCTCAGGCTTCTAAACACTTCAGTATATTAGCAGTATTTGAACCCAATTATTATTCCCTCATCCACTTGGTAATCTCTTAGACTCTTCAAATTTCACAACAGAATTTCTGATTCACCTTCCCCCAACTCCAGGACAGTACACTTGTTTCTCTTACAGATGACCATCTTAGAGAAACTCTTCTCATTCTTCTAGTTCATTCTTTCAGCCACATTGAGTTTGAGGGCTTAACATCTAAGAAAACACTGAACAAATTAAAAGAGAAAAACCGTATAATCATATCAATACATAAAGTCTGGCAGCCATTTAATTTTTTTTTAAGAAAAATCGGAATGGAAGGTAACCATTTACATATAATGGAGATACCAAAGTTAATAACAGATATTATCCTAAAGAACAACACTTAATACCATGTTAATTAAAACTAAGAACTAAAAAGGGGTACCTGCTAAAAATATTATTCAACTTCACTTGGGAAATTCTTAGTAAATGCAGTACAAAGAGAAAATGAAATGCTTGGTATTCACATTAAGAAAAACAAAAAAAATGACAAGATTATTTTGCTGATGACTAGGAAAAATTCAAGGGGCTCTTAGTTTAAGAAGAAAGGAAAGAATGATAGAAATTGGTAAGTTTGCTGGATATAAAACAACATCAATAAATTTCTTCCTTTGTAGCAGTTAAGACCTAAAAAAAATAAATAAATAAGAGTATTCTATTCACAATCAAAATAAGGACATAAATTAATTAGGTATAGAGTTAAGAAAGGTACCTGACTCACACAAAGAGAACAGAAAAGACTAAGAATACAGAAATAGATCCCCTTACATAAGAACTTAATAAATAACAAAAATGATATATTTCAGTTCAATGGGAGAAATGGGTTACTTAATAAATGGTGTTAAAACAACTAGCCATCCATCTGGAAGAATGTAAACTTGACTATCTTAAACTACATAAAATAAATTCCAGATGGATTAGAGGCTAAAAAAATTTTAAGAAGCAAACATTTTTAGAAGAAAACCTAGGAGGTGAATGAATAATGGAGGGGTGGGGTTCAGTTTCTTAACCAAGAGTGGAAATATAGAAGCTATGAGAAAAGATATATTTGTGATTAAAACTTAATATTCAAAATTTTATATAATACATATCAATGGAAAATACACCATGAACACAAGAACCATACAGAAAAAAAGCCAGGAGTAGAAAACTATCTGCAACACAGGTTATAACTATAAGGTTCGTTTCTCTACCATATAAAAAACAGAACTGAGTAAGAAAAGAAACTGCACAATGAAAAATTTAGAGATAGAAGTGGAAATTCTCTGAAAAGCTAACTCAAATGGCCAAGAAACCTAAAGAAAGGTTGCATTGGTGGCCATGGTAATGCAAATCAAAGTGACAGTATGAAATAATTTAACACTTTTGATTGGCAGAAATTAATAAGATCACATCTTGATGGTTGGAATGCAGGAGGAGGGGCTATTTTCAGGCTATGTCAGCACCAACTGAAATTTAAAATAACGTTCAAACTAATCTAGCACTTTCCACTTTGAAATTCTGTTCTTTATTACACCGTGGTCAGCAGTGGTAAATAGAGACGTCAATGCTTATCATTAGGAAGTGGATGAATAAATTATTCTATTCCACGTGAAGCACATAAAAAAAGGTAATTTGATTTGAAAGTGTTTCCATAAGGTTCTGTTAAGAGAAAAGCAACGTGCTGAGAAGTATGTATATCACCATTCTGTAAACAATTATGCATATGTATGCTAAGTATATGTAAAAGACCGAATTCAAAGGAAAACGTGATTAACTACATACCAGTTGGGGGAAGGGGAGTAGGGATGTGAAGTGCCCAGTATGGCGGAGACAAGGGGATGCAAGGAACCATGCAAAACAATGAGGAAACAAAGACCATTAATTAAAAAATAGAACAATTGACTGTTAAAGATTTGTATGTGCATATGTAAAAAAGTTTTAAGACTGAGCTGCATTAAGGAGTTAACCTGGTTCATACGAAACATTTTTTCCCCTCGGATGCAAAAAAGACGTTATTAACGGAACCCTAGAATTAAAATTTCAAAAGCTTAAAGGGGCAATTCTATGAAAGTGTCCCCAAATATTTAAAGTGGTGTAGCTCACCAGGGTTGAAAACCCTGTAGTCGGAGAAATACGATCTAGTTAGGCGCAGAGTGGAAGTTTCAAGTATTACCCAATCAAGAGAAGTAACGTTATTAAGAGAAACCGGGTAGGGCTTTAGCTCTAAAATTCCAGGGCAGCCAAACTGACCGTGGCAGGAAACTAGCTGACAATCTGTAAACCCACCCAGAGTAAGGCGCCGCCAAGCAAGAGCGACCTGCAGGATCAGAGCTGGTCCGTGATGGCGATGCAGGTAAGCGTGTGAGGCCTACCCTGAGGTCGAGGACACCAATCTGGGCACCATGCACAACGGAGAACCACCGTCATCCCCAAGGTCAGGCAGCTCGCCCGCACATCGTCCTGTAGAAAGCGTTACGTAGTAGGTTTCGCTGATTACCTCAAAAGAATCTTTCAGGGACATCAGTTTGGAAATAGCAGATATAGCTGTCTCCACTTAGCTCTCATAGAACACCAGGGAAGTCTAAAGCAGACAAGGAGAAGAGGCACACGAATCCAGCCTGAGTCAGGGGGGTTCGATCATAGCTACAAGTAGTTACCACTGAGGACAAATTAGTTTGGGGTGTGGGACTTCAGGATAGGTCCAAAATACTCCCCCCACCCCGCCCCATGTTTTTAATATACAGGTAAATGCAAACTGGATATAAAGTACTAGAGAAAAGTGGCTCCCAAACTTTGATGTTTAAATTACCTAGGAGGCCAAGCACCAAGCTTCTTTCAGTAGGTAATATCCAGCTTCTAAGACTCAGAACTTACCTAAACTCAAAAAGATCCTGATGTAGAGCAAAGGCTAG